TGCTCAGAGGGCTACAGTCACCCATCTGTCCTGTTCTAATAAACACCTTTAGATCTGTTCAGTTTTATTCATATGGCACTACTTAACAGTCAACAAATCTTGTCTTAAGTCACTTTATACTGTAAAGTGTTAATTTAGGACAAAGTATACTGCAAATCTACAGAATTTTCCGTTTTGCCATTTAGTGAACTTCCGTAAAAAACAAAACAAAAAATCCAGAAAATGTTCAGGCATGAATTTATCAGGACATTTGAAGAGCAAATGAAGAGCAAAGCAGAAAGTTACAGCAAGTTCATGCCTGGTGTCCTGACGCAACCCCGAAGGGCTGGAGTAATCAGCAGGGGGCAGCATGACGCCAGTGTTGGATCCTCAAGACACGAAAAAGAAAACCGGAAACTACGCATTTTTCGCGCGAAATCTCATTGCTGTCCTGTGTTGTATTTTCAGTAGATTAAATCAGAGAAGCGGGCAGATCGGCTTCGCGGTGGGGAGAAGGTTACTTTGTTTTTTGTTGTTGTAATTTTGTCCTCTGTGTGAGCTGAAAGAGACGAAACAGGATGAAATATTTCACTCGAATGAAAATCAGACGAGTATATGAGTGGAGTGGAAAGCCACGAAGCTTCAACAGGAGGCTAAAAACCTACGACTATGAGTGAGTAATTATTTTTCCACCTTAAAAAAGCCTTTTTATGCTCCGTCTTTTCAATGTGATGGTTAAAAATGTTTCTGTTGGAATAATTAAGGGAGATAAGAGTCCTGCGGATGAATTAAGTAGAATGACAAACTATCAAACAACAACTATGTGATACTCATTTAAGGCAGTGGTGGGCCGCGTGATTGTGCTCTTTTGTTGTCCCTAGCCCTCGATCGCTGGGGCTGGGGGCAACAACTGTCTGTTTATTTTAAAGAAGGGAAAGTCTAGCGCTCCTTGATCTTATTCTTCACTTTATGTTGTCGGCCTTTCCCTTTGATGTGGTTACAAAAATGTCAAAGTTACCAAAGTCGACACTCATACAAAGTTAACATATAATTTACTGTCATAGTTTGTTTTATTGACTTGTTGCTACCAGTTTGTCCACAGTATTGAACTCTCCCAGGTACAAAGATGGTAACTGTGTTGTGGATATCACAACTCTAATCTGGGCTCATGGGTGGAGTCAGTTTTAATGCAGTCTACCATGTTACTGTTTGCCTGGAGAGGGGCACAGTTTTAGTGATGGGTTGATGACGCCTCGTGGAATGTGTGCCACATTGGCTTTACTGTGTGTTTTTTACTGTTTGTGGACTTTAAATCCACACCGGTGTTATGACCAGATGAAAGTACTCTAACCTTTTTTCCATCTCTGGGAACTCCTTCAAGAGTGTTTGAAAAACCATTGTGCAGAGTGTGTAAAGCAGTAATCAAAGCAAAGGGTGGCTATTTTGAAGAATCTAAAATATAAAAGATGTTTTTTGTAATACATAATTCCACAGGTGTTCATTTATAGTTTTGATGGCTTCTGTGAGAATCCACAATGTAAATAGTCACACATGTATTATTATGTCCATGTTGTAGCACATAGAGTGAAGTGTCTGTCTCAAAATCTTTACTAAACATTTCCAACTTAAAAATGTGATTTATGTAATGCTGACCAGGTCATTTCAAGTATGTGGCTTGTTTTGTGGACTTTAAATCCACACCGGTGTTATGACCAGATGGAAGTACTCTACCCTTCTTTCCACAGAAATCTAGAAGAACTGTTAAAGTGTATTTTCAGAAGTTTGTTAGTTATGTTTTGGTGCTTTGAAATGACCCTCCAAAAGTTGATTCTGTTCATCTGGATGTAGAGTTTTTATGCAAATTCTCATGACCATTGATCAACAACCACTGACCAAAGACCACTGATCAATGGCCATGAGTACCATTCACAGAGTTGGGGAATGGCTGCAATCACAGCATTGTAAGATGTTGACAGATGTACCCTTAGGCCCCCTCCTCGATTCAGAGATGGTCTTTCCCTTTTCATGTAAATGGCCTCCTTGACTCCGCGCTCACACCAGCGTTCCTCCCTGTGCTGTACATCCTCATCATTGAAAGAGTGTCCACTGGCCTGTAGGTGTA